TCTATCTATCTATCTATCTATCTATCTATCTATCTATCTATCTATCTATCTATCTATCTATCTATCTATCTATCTATCTATATACATATATACATATATACATATATACATATATATATGGTCTGCCCCCTGGATCCACCAATCACTTCTTGTGAGGGTAACTCCAGGACTGTGTTTTCACTTCTCTACAAACTTCTCCAGCCGCCCAACACTTTACCACCATGACAGGTCTCCCCTGTCTGAAACACACACAGAGACCATTCCCCAACTCTCTGTGAATGGTACTCATGGCCATTGGTCAGTGGTTGTTGATCAATGGTCATGAAAATTTGCATAATTATGATGAAAGAACTGACCTCCCAGCCCATTGTTCCGTCAGTGGGCTGGTTTCAGTCATTATGCAAATGTACTGTTTATAAGATTTGGGGAAACCTGCAGTCAGCTGAGACTGAAGAAGTCACGAAACGTTTCTCCCACAAAACGCTACGTCCAGATGAACAGAATCAACTTTTGGAGGTTTTTTATTTTATTTTATTTTTTACGGTACTCACAGAGAACAGTTACAGCAGCAAACATTAGGATGTTGCCGCAAACAACAAAATGTCTACAAATAATTTGCAATAAGATTTGCTTTCACCTCCTAGGATCTGGCGTCCACATATGTGGACATCACATTTTGGGTTATTTAGACCAAAATACTCAATTTTGCTCTACAAGGGCCTTACAAGGACATTATACTGCTACTGTTCTATCAACATTTTAAACGAATATCCTCATATGTGGCTCTGATTTTTCATAAAAACAAAAAAGAATGCATACCGGGGAAGAGTTTGGGTCTTAGGAGGTTGACTTTATCTAGGAGCTGAATTTTGTTTAACCCTTTTTTATTCATGGATTTTTAACAATGATTTCCTGAATCTTTCTGTCAAACACTAGTTTAATTTCTCTACACTAACAGAAAAGCCAAAGACTGTACAAACATGGCTTCTGCTTTGACTTTGAATTTGAGAGGACTGTTGCGAAAAAACAAACAAAAACAAACCATCGTTCACCGTGATGGTCACCCAACAAAACCTAACAACAACATAATGACTTGTGATCATTTGTCACAGTTGTTAGAGTTTAAAGAACCGTCTGGATTCTGTAAATCTCACAGTTAAAGCCTGCTTGCTGTGTTTCCTGGGTTTCTGAGCGATGATGAGAAACCTGCAGTCTGTCCTCTCACTTTCATTCAGGAAGAGAAGAGCAGAGCAGAGCCAGGAAGAGGAGTTGAGGAAGGCAGGAAGAAGGAGCCTGGCTGAGAACAAGGACTATGTTCAGGTGTGAGCACTGCAGCTGCAGCACAGCTGTGGACTCCACCCTGATGATTGTTTGAGGGAGTGAATTTTCTCTGTTTAGTTTGATATTTAAACATGTTTGAGTGATTTGTTGCCTCTGATTGGCAGCTGAAAACTATGTGAAAAATGATTGCATATTTGATAGTGGATCCTTCTTTAGCCAGGTTTGTCACACAGTTTCTTCTTATTCAGCATTTAAACAGACACATCTGTGTCTACAGTTTGAAACAACTCACATCGAAAAAAGTTTAAATGTGGAGCAGTGCTTTCAAATGAAAAGCCTGATATTTTTACATGTTTTGCATTATTCTTATGTGTTTGATCTGGGGTCCACTGGTACTAGAAATTGTCATTATATAAAACATATGATTGAAATGAATGTATCCTCACCTAAACCTCAGACGTCTGTCATAAACATGTTATAAATACCAATATCAATACCAACTTGTATTGGTACCAAGGAGGCTCAGGCATGTCTGTACGTGTCCTGTGGTTAGGTTTAGGCATTCATTTTTAAATGTCAAAGTTAGGGCAAGTGGCTAGTGGGAATGCATTATGTCAATGAGATGTCCCCACGAAGATAGCAAGACCCGACGTGTGTGTGTGTGTGTGTGCATGTCTGTGTGCATGTGTTTTTTCTCTTGCTTCATGAGAAGCTTGCAGAGTTTTGCAAGAGTGGCATGCAGTTTCCATGGTGACATTAATGTTTACTTGAATGCTTACGTCCGTTTTGTCTTTTGACCGAAAGACACAAGAGGGGGATTCCTGTAGCAGAGGCTGTGTGTGTGTGTGTGTATGTATGTATGAGTGTGTGTGTGTGTGTGTGTGTGTGTGTGGTGTGTTCTCCTCAAGCCCTCAGCTGTTAAGATGCCCAGTTCACAAGAAATGTAACACCCTTTGTAAGTCTTTACAGTCCTTTCTAATTACATCTTTGAGTACAAACACATTTGTTGTTTTATCTGCACATTTATTAATTATGACTCACTAAAGCAGAGATCTCTCTCTGGCCCCATATTCAAAAAACCTGCTAAGCACTTTTGCATGGAGGATGGAAACAATAACAATAACTCTCAGATTTTTTTTGTGATGTACTAAATCTTCTTTAACGTTGTTTTAAAAAGGAAATAAGTGAAATGATTCAAAATCAAATTTGGGATCATATTTTTTTTTATCTTTGCAATGAAAATTTCTTTACTCCTTCTGTCTTTGCAGTTTACTTTCATTTTACTGATTCTGCTGAGTCACTGGCCATTTCAGCAGAAACCTGTCATAAAGTCTCTGGTTCCTTTTTGCTGTGTGCGTCTTTTTCCTGCCCGTCACTTGTTATTTATCCTTGTAAAGAATAAGAAGTGACACTGGAGCGACACAGAGCCCTTATCCTCACAGTGCAGCGGTGGATTCAGCCTGTTTAAGGTAACTAACAATGCTAATGCTGAGGCCTGTTGCATGCACACACAGTGTTAGAGCAATGGCTGCAGCCCACAGCCTTTAAAATAGTGATTAAAATCCTGTCTGTAAGCAAAGTGTCATCAGACACTAAACTTTCAAACACTTAAGATTAAAATGAGCTGACAGCGAATCGTTCCTTGTATTACTGCACAAGGGGAAGACTGGAGATGACAATAATGATTTAATGAATTTTGTTTTCATTACACGAGTGCACACTTTCATTCTGAATGTAAAGTAAATGACCTGTGTAGTAGTTGTAACAGACAAGCACACAACAAACATGACAACAAATGAGAAGAATTTAGAAGCTCACAAGTTTTTCTTTCTTAAAGAACAGGCTCTGCTAATACTAGTGTGTGTGTCTGTGTGTATATTTTGTGGGTTATCTGTTCACATGTCTTAACTAGATTATTTCCCATTTAAAGAAACAAACAAAAGAACAACATACATTAAATTATTTCATTGCAAGAATCTGACCCATAGTTCTCACTTTGCAAAGGCAGTCTGATTAAAGTGTTTGTTTACATGTGAACAACATTAAAATGCGTCTGTTAACAGTTATGTTTTTACAATCTCAACCTGATCACCATCCAGCAGGAGGAGCAGTGAGTCCTGAGGCTGTGCTACCAACCAGGATTTCATCTGATCCAGGTAACTTCAGGGTCTCTGTACTGCTGGGGTAAATCACCACGGTAATTTAATCAGATTGGAGATCAACAATACTGTAGTTTAGCTTTTTCTCTCACGCTGCTGATTTTGTATAAAATACACAACATATATATATACATGATTTAGCTGCATAGATAACATACAGTGGGGCAAAAAAGTATTTAGTCAGCCACCAATTGTGCAAGTTCCCCCACCTAAAATGATGACAGAGGTCAGTAATTTGCACCAGAGGTACACTTCAACTGTGAGAGACAGAATGTGAAAA